AGGTGGAGGTTGCAGTGAGCCGAGATCGCGCCATTGCACTCCAGCCTGCAGAACAAGAGTGAAACTCCGTCTCAAAAAAATAAATAAATAAAAATAAAAATAAAAATAAAAAATTAGCTACTCTACTAAAAATATAAAATTAGGCCAGGGTAGAGTGGCTCATGTCTGTAATCCCAGCATTTTGGGAGGCTTAGGTGGGCGGATCACCTGAGGTTGGGAGTTAGAGACCAACCTGACAAATATGAAGAAATGCTGTCTCTAAAAAATAAATAAATAAATAAATAAAAATTAGCTGGGCATGGTAGTGCACATCTGTAATCCCAGCTACTTGGAACCCTCTGGCAGGAGAATCTCTTGAATCCAGGAGGCGGAGGGAGACTCCATCTCAAAAAAATAAAAATAAGGCCGGGTGTGGTAGCTCATGCCTGTAATCCCAGCACTTTGGGAGGCTGAGGCAGGTGGATCACGAGGTCAGGAGTTCACGACCAGCCTGGCCAAGATGCTGAAAACCTATCTTTACTAAAACTATAAAAATTAGCTGTGAGCAGTGGCGGGCGCCTGGGAGGCTGAGGCAGGAGAATTGCTTGAACCTGGGCAGTAGAGGTTGCAGTGAGCCACGATAGTGCCACTGCATGCCAGCCTGGGCCACAGAGCAAGACTCTGTCTCTAAATAAATAAATAAATAAATAATAAATAAAATAAAAATAACTGGAAAACCTACCTGAATATTGAATTAAAAGTTATTTCCATGTCTTGAGAAAAAATTAAAGACGAGAAAGGGAATATAGAGTTTTTTTGTTTTGTTTTGTTTTGTTGTTTTTGTTTTTGAGAAGGAGTCTTACTTTGTTGCCCAGGGTAGAGTGCCATGGCTGGATCTTGGCTCGCCACAGCCTCTGCCTCCCCGGTTCAGGTGATTCTTTTTTTCTTAGCCTCCAGAGTAGCTGGGATTACAGACATCCACCACCATGCACGGCTAATTTTTGTATTTTAGTAGAGACGTGGTTTTACTACATTGGCTAGGCTGGTCTCGAACTCCTGACCTTAATAAGCCACTCGCCTTGGCCTCCGAAAGTGCTGGGATTACAGGTGTGAGCCACTGCACCTGGCCTAGAGTTTACTTTTTAAAGGTGTAAAAGTATCTTATATGTAAGCATTAAAGTAGGCATTAAGTTTGTCTTCTAGAGCAAGGGCATATATTGTTAGTTCACAATAGTGGCCAAAAATGCTCATTGATAATAAAAGTTTATATTTGTTTTGGCAGGAGAACTAGTGGCTCTGAAGAAGGTGAGATTAGACAATGAGAAAGAGGGCTTCCCAATCACAGCCATTCGTGAAATCAAAATCCTTCGTCAGTTAATTCACCGAAGTGTTGTTAACATGAAGGAAATTGTCACAGATAAACAAGATGCACTGGATTTCAAGAAGGACAAAGGTACTAGCAAAGACATACATTTTTACCAGGTAGACTGTTCCTTTCTTTCCTTTTTTTTTGAGACAGAGTCTTGCTCTGTCGCCTAGGCTGGAGTGCAGTGGCACAATCGTGGCCCACTGCAACCTCTGCCTTCCATGTTCAAGCAATTCTCCTTCCTTAGTCTCCTGAGTAGCTGGGATTACAGGCATGTGCTACCACATTCAGCTAATGTTTTTGTAGTTTTAGTAGAGATGGCATTTCACCATGTTGGTCAGGCTGGTCTGGAACTCCTGACTTGGTGATGATCCTCCTGCCTTGGCCTCCGAAAGTTTTTTTCCTTCTTATTTGTCTCTTCATTTTGAGACAGAGTCTTGCACCGTCACCCAGGCTGGAGTGCAGTCGTGTGATGTCAGCTCACTGCAACTTCTCCCTTCCAGGTTTAAGTGATTCTCGTGCCTCAGCCCTTCAAGTAGCTGGAATTACAGGCATGTGCCAACATGCCTGGCTAATTTTTGTATATATAGTAGAGCGGGGGGTTTTGCCATGTTAGCCAGGCTGGTCTCAAACTCCTGACCTAGAGTGCTCCTCCCGCCTCAGCACCCCGAAGTGCTGGGATTACAAGTGTGAGCCACCATGCCTGGCCTCATATATATTTTTTTAATTATAAAATAATAAGTCCATGAATGGATATGATGCATGCATGCCTTTCATGGAAAAATTGAAAATATGGAGGAAGAAGAAAAAGAAGATGGTAGTAATTTCTCTGTCACTTCTTTCCAATATACTACCGTCCATGGAAAACCACTAAAGTATTAATATTAACATTTTGGTATATTTGCTTTTAGTCCTTTTTTTTTTTGAGACAGGGTTCTCACTGTCTCACCCAGGCTGGAGTACAGTGGCTCAGTCTCAGCTCACTGTAACCTCCGCCTCCCAGGTTCAAGTGATTCTCCTGCCTTGGCCTCCCAGGTAGCTGGGATTACAGGCACACGTGACCACGCCTGGCTAAATTTTGTAATTTTAGTAGAAATCCCTCTCTAGTAAAAATGTGAAAATTTGCTGGGCATGGTGCTGGGCGCCTTTGATCCCAGCTACTGGGAAGGCTGAGGCAGGAGAATTGCTTGAACCTGGGAGGTAGAGGTTGCCGTGAGCCGAGATTGTGCCGCTGCACTCCAGCCCAGGGAACAGAGCCCATCTCAAAAAAAAAAAAAAAAAAAAAAAAATTATCATCTGAATAGGTTAAGCATATTATTATTATTTTGTATTTTAATTTAATTTTTTGAGACAGGTTCTCACTGTGTGCCCAGGCTGGAGTACAGTGGTGACCACAGCTCATTGCATCCTCAACCTCCAGTTTCAAGCGATCCTCCATGCCTCAGCCAGCCTCCTGTTTAGTTGGGATAACAGGCATGCACTACCACACACAGCTGATTTTTCTATTTTTAGTAGAAATGAGATCTCTTATGTTGCCCAGACTGGTCTCTAACTGCTGAGCTCAAGCAGTCTGCTCGCCTTGGCCTCCTAAAGTGCTGGAATTACAGATTTGAGCCACCACACCCAGCCAATGTCATTTTAGATTATATTTGTTATATTTTTAGTTTTTTCCATGTTACTGGTTTTATTTACTTTGTCTCTCCCTCTCTCTTTTTTTTTTTTTTTTTTCTCTGTTGCCCAGGCAGAAGTGCAGGGGCCTGATCTTGGCTCACTGTAACATCTGCTTCCCGGGCTAATGCAATTCTCCTGCCTCAGCCTCCTGAGTAGTTGAGACTAGAGGACTATACCACCATGCCTGGTTAACTTAATTTTTTTTTCTCCTGTAGAGGCAGTGTCTTGCTGTGTTACCCAGGCTGGAGTGCAGTGATAAGATCACAGCTCACTGTAACTTTGCACTCCTGGGTTCAAATGATCCTCCTGCCTCAGCCTCCCAAGTAGCTAGACTAGACACCACTCCTAGCTAGCTTTTAAAAATTTTGGGTAGAGACAGGATCTTTCCATGTTGCCCAGCCTGGTCTTGAACTTCAGGCATCAAGCAGTCCTCCTGCTTTGGTCTACTAAATTGCTGGGATTATAGGCATGAGCCAACATACCTGGTCTCTTTTGAGGTGTCCTTTGCTTACGTATCTTTTGCATTTCTAGTGCTTTTCTTATTAATTTGAGGTCTTAGCTAAATCTCTCCAAGATACTTCTTTTCTAAATTTTTTGTCGATAGAATTTTGCTTTCTTACCCAAGCTAGAGTACATTGGATTGGTGCAGTCACAGCTTACTGTAGCCTCGAACTCCTGGGCTCAAAGATTCTCAGCTACTGGGAAGGCTCAGCCTCCCAAGTAGCTGGGACTATAGCCATCCACCATCTCATCTAGCTAATTTTTTTTTTTTTTTTTCCCTTTGGGACAGAATTTCGCTCTTGTTACCCAGGCTGGAGTACAATGGCACAATCTCGGCTCACCGCAACCTCCGCCTCCTGGGTTCAGGCAATTCTCCTGCCTCAGCCTCCTGAGTAGCTGGGATTACAGGCACACGCCACCATGCCCAGCTAATGTTTTGTATTTTTAGTAGAGACGGGGTTTCGCCGTGTTGACCAGGATGGTCTTGATCTCTTGACCTTGTGATCCACCCGTCTCGGCCTTCCAAAGTGCTGGGATTACAGGCTTGAGCCATTGCGCCCGGCCTCACCTAGCTAATTTTTAAATTTTTTTGTGGAGATAGTGTCTCACTATTTTGCCCAGTCTGGTTTTTAAAACTCAGGCAGTCTTCTCACCTCATTCTCCCAAAATGCGGGGATTATAGGTATGAGCCACTGCACACAGCCCTAAATTTAACAGATTGAATTCATTGATTCGTTTTTCTCGCAATTCATAAGTACTATGATTTTCTTTCTTTTTTTTGAGACGGAGTCTCACTGTTTTTTCCCTGGCTGGAGTGCAGTGCTGCGATCTTGGCTTACTACAGCCTCTACCTCCTGGGTTCAAGTGATTCTCCTGCCTGAGACTTCTGAGTAGCTGGTATTACAGGCACCTGCCACCACGCATGCCTGGCTAATTTTTGTATTTTTAGTAGAGATGGGGTTTCACCTGTTGGCCAGGCTGGTCTCAAACGCCTCACCTCGGGTGATTTGTGTGCCTTGGCCTCCCAAAGTGCTGAGATTACAAGCATGAGCCACCATGTCCAGCTATGAATTTCACTAGTAATTTATGACACATTTGTTGTACTATCCCTGGGTTAGTGAGTCCCTTTAACTTGTATAAAACCCTTTACAAAACTGCTCATGAATAATATGTAATAAATGGGCATGGTTGTGTTAGAAATACAACTTCACTTATAGCAACAAGCAGCTGGCTGGCTCTGGTCTAAGGTCTGTAATTTGGTAACTGACAGGTCATTAAAGTCTAATAAGACAGGCTGAGCACAGTGGTTTATGCCTCTAACCTCAGCACTTTGGGATATCCGGGTGGAAGGATTGCCTGAGCCCAAGAGTTAGAGACCAGCCTGGGGACCATAGCAAGATCCTGTCTCTACCAAAAATGAAAAACATTAACTGGGCGTGGTGGCATGTGCCTGTAGTCCCAGATACTTGAGAGGCTGAGGTGGAAGGTTCGGTTGAGCCCAGGAGTTTGAGGCTGCAGTGAGCTGTGATCATGCTACTGCACTCTAGCCTGTGCAACGGAATAAGACCCTGTCTCAAAAAAAAGAAAGAAAAAAGCCTGGGTGCAGTGGCTTAAGCTTGTAATCCCAGCACTTTGGGAAGCTAAGGTGGGCAGATCACCTGAGGTCAGGAGTTTGAGACCAGCCTAACCAACATGGTGAAAACGTATCTACTAAAAATAGAAAAACTAGCTTGGTGTGGTGGCACATGCCTGTAATCCCAGCTACTTGGGAAGCTGAGGCAGGAGAATCACTTGAACCAGGAGGTGGAGGTTTCAGTGAGCCGAGATTGTGCCACTGTTCTCTAGCCTGGATGGTAGAGTTAGAGTCTGTCTCAAAAAAAAAAAAAAAAAAAAAGCAAGGAAAAAAAGTCTAGTAATGCAGCCTAATCAGGGCAGTTGCCCCCTGAAGAGGTGAGTAGTCCATGCAGTAGTACTAGACTAGGAATCAGAAGATTAATTCGCTTTTTTTTTTTTGAGAATGAGTCTTGCTTTGTTGCCCAGGCTACAATGCAGTGGTGCCATCTCAGCTCACTGCAACCTCTGGCTCTTAGGTTCAGGTGATACTCCCGCCTCAGCCTCCCAAGTAGGTAGGATTACAGGCTCATGCCACCATGCCTGCCTAATTTTTGTATCTTTTTTTAGTCGAGATGGGAGTTTCACCATGTTGAGCAGGCTGGTCTTGAACTCTTGACCTCAAGTGATCCGCCCTCCTTGGCCTCCCAAAGTGCTAGGATTACCAGCCACAGAAGATTAGTTCAAATATTAGCTCTGTTATTTATTACTAGGAAGGACTAATTCTTCAACTACTCTTAGTTTCACTTTCTTCATCTATAAAATTTAAGGGTTTTTTTCTAGAGAGTCTGCAGTCAACTCCAAAATTGTAATAGGACTTGACACATTGTTTTTCAGCATTCTTTTTTTTTTTTTTGCTTGTTTTTAATTTTTTTTCATCTTATGTAGGTGCCTTTTACCTTGTATTTGAGTATATGGACCATGACTTAATGGGACTGCTAGAATCTGGTTTGGTGCACTTTTCTGAGGACCATATCAAGTCGTTCATGAAACAGCTGATGGAAGGATTGGATTACTGTCACAAAAAGAATTTCCTGCATCGGGATATTAAGTGTTCTAACATTTTGCTGAATAACAGGTAACATAGTAACCAAATAAGGTTACACTCTTTTCTGTTCTCCTCTGACCCTTTTCAGTTTCAAATTGTTAATTGGTATTATAATTAGACCTAATATTGCAGTATTCACACACACATTGGGTTTTCAGTGTTATTCCATTCCCTGTGTTCAGTGTGGGAGAAACATGCCTGCTTCTTTAGCATTTCTCAGTTGCCAGCTTTCTGAGTAAACATTGGTGTGCAGTTGGTGATTGACCTATCCTGCCCAGTACTTACTCCTAGGTTTTAATAGTGTAAACAAGCAGGAATCTGGTGATGAACAGGTGTTAATTCATCAGAAGCTTTGATCATCTGCTTTCTTTTCTGTTTGCTTGCCTGTACTGCATTGGTAATATCAGATGTATTATGCACACTAGTTTTTCTTAATAGTCCTACTTGCTGAGTGGTAAAGAACAAGTCTGGTACCATTTAAATTAGTGAAGTTTTGGTTGGGCATGGTGGCTCAGGCCTGTAATCCCAGCACTTTGGGAGGCCGAGGCAGGCAGATCATCTGAGATCGGAAGTTTGAGATCAGCCTGATCAATGTGGAGAAACGCTGTCTCTACTAAAAATACAAAATTATCCAGGCATGGTGTGCATGCCTGTAATCCCAACTACTATGGAGGCTGAGGCAAGAGAATCGGTTGAACCCTGGAGCCGGATGTTGCAGTGAGCCAAGATTGCGCCATTGCACTCCGGCCTGGGCAACAAAAGCGAGACTCTGTCTCAAAAAAA